GCACTAAAATTTCGAGTTTACATTTCAAAAAAACTGGTTTTTATAACTCCTAATTATTTAATAATAAGACCAAGATTTAGATTTGTGTAATACATGACAATTTGATCAAATAACTACTAAACATTGAGACGTTTTTATGGGAGAGCCGGTAAACGAGCAGACGGATCACCTGATGGTAAGCAATCGGCGTCGCCCATGGACACCCGGAACACTAGAGGCGTTACAATAGGGTAGTTGCCAGGGTATCAAAATTAAAAATCTAATAGTCCGTCAGTTAGATAATGACATTTTTTATTTTCTCTTTAGTATGTTACTAGAATAGCCGGTACTTTGGTACTAGAATAGTAACATACTACAACGCCTTTCGTTCTCCAAAGGAGTAGACAGTGGTGTACAAATACAATGTAACACCCACTTTTCACCAGTTATATTACGTGTCCTATAGAGGCTCGTACACAAAACTGTGATGCGATGCGAATTCGCAACGCAGAAATTTCCGATGCTAATTCCTGCGATGCGATTTCGTGCGACAAGGCGTCTCCCAGGGTGACCATTCCTTCGACGACCGTCAACCGTACTAAACGTATTTTAAATTGAAAACTAGTAGTAAAAAGAAGTGTGCATTTCAGTTATAATAAACGCAATGAAAACACCAACCCGCATTGAGCAAGCGTTGTGATTAATGCTCAAACCTTCTCCGTGTGAGAAGAGGCTTTGCTCAGCAGTGGGCATTTATATGCTGATTGATTTGATGATGAAACGCAATATTTAGCTAATATTTAATCAAATTGTCATACAAAATACTTTGATATTATCGATTTTTTTAATACCAAATTTTATACATTCTATAACTGAGGATTCTTAAAAAAATAGGTATTTTCTTGTCTTGATAGCAACTCATTTGGTATCCAGGTAAAAATAAAGATAGATTCAGTACAGAGACAGTAGCCATTGGTTGTCTATAGCCAACTGAGTTACAAAAGATATGACTTCGTTTCTTCATCGAATTCTTCTGTGAGTGTGTATGTCACTGAACTTCTCTCAAACGACTGGACCGATTTTGACGAAATTTTTTGTGTGTGTTCAAGGGGATCTGGGAATGGTTTAGATTCACAAATCAGCCCGGCAGATGGCGCTGCAGTCGATATTTAGGTTATTTATCCTAAATAGCTGAACTAATTTGAATGAATTTTTGTTTATACATTCAAGTGGATATGCAGGACAACGTCTGTTGGGTCCGCTAGTGCTATTATATAAAGCGGAAGAGTTTGTTTTTTTTTTTGTTTGTTTGTTTGTTTGAACGCGCTTATCTCCGTAACTACAAGTCTGATTTGAATAATTCTTTTTGTGTTGGATAGCGCATTTATCGAGGATGGCTATAGGCTATAAAACATTACGCTACGACCAATAGGAGCTGAGCAGAGCCTGTGAAACCGTGCGGAAGTAGCTAGTTTAGTATAACAATGGCTACTGTCTCTGTACTGAATCAATCGTTGTTTTCTTATCTGCTTACTAATAACAGCCAGTTTCTATAACCTATCTATCTGCAGATTTGCTTACTAGAGATAGAATTTTGACATGAGCTCCATACAAAGTGTGTAAAAATTCTATCTCTAGTAAGCAAATCTACAGATAGATAGGTTATTGAAAATGGACGTAAATGACTTGGCCGACAGTAGAACATTGCCTACAAGTTAGTTACCAAAAATCTAGTATTAAAAAAAGTCGACAACAAATCTAAAACGAAACCTAAACATAAGGATTCCTGTTAAACGCTCCTCCTACAGAATAAAAACTAAAAAAAAAAAAGAAAAAATATGTTTATTTTTTTTTTCTTGTAAATATCATATTTTTCAATAACGATGTTTAATTAAAATTCTTTTAATGAAAATTTTTGTTTTCTGTAATTCGATTGGTGTATTATAAATATAAATTGATGAAATTGGGTAGGCAGGAGAGGTGAGATAGCTTCATACATTTTGTTGGTTACGTGACCTGGACGTACAACCATAATTATAAAGAATTAACTAAAACTCGCGGGTACTCACGTGAATATACTGAGAAAAGCTCTACTAGTTTCGAACCACAGAGGGGCCGAATTTCGAACCTCATGAGCAGCGTGCGCAGTCGCGGCGATGCCGCGCAGCCTACCAGTAGAACTTTTCTTAGTATATTCACGTGAGTAACCCGCGATTTTAGTTAATTTAGTATGTCTCACGGAATTTATAACAAGTATAAAGAACTTTAAATTGTATTTTTATGGTATAGGCCGGGAAACGAGCAGACGAATCACCTGATAGTGAGCAATCTACGCCTATAGACACATGGAAAACTACTGGAGTTACAATTACGTTACCGACCGTTTAAACTGTCAAACACCAAGCTGTCACCGGTGACCGCGACCTATTGTTCTTTAATTGTTTATAAAACCGGTACTCGACGAGTTAAAATATGGGATGTTATCTCAAATGACTTATGCCGGGAATACTGAAACGTTACTCAATTTTAAGTCGTGCTCAAATATCGTGCCATCTCTGTCATTTTACAAAGAATTTGTGGAGTAGAACTATACTTAAGCGCTACTTAAAATTGAGTAGCGTTTCAGTATTCCCACATTAATCCTTACTAATATTATAAATCGGAAAGTGAGTTTGTTTGTTTGTTCAGCTTTCACGCCGTAACTACTGAACCGATTGCTTTGATTTTTTGCAGACGTAAAGTTAGAAGTCCGGATTAAATAATAGGGTACTTTTTATACCGGAAAAATTTGATGTTTTCGAGGGAAAACGAAATTATTGGTATAGATGGCGCTGTATGTATTGGTATATGTCACATAGGCTACTTTTTATTCTTTTGGGACGCGAGCGAAAAGCTAGTCTACTATATAAAAATAAGTCGGGTTTTCCTTCCTGACGCTATAACTCCAGAACGCACGAACCGATTTCCACGGTTTTACATTCGTTGGAAAGGTCTCGGGCTCCGTGAGGTTATAAACCTCACGGAGCCCGAGACCTTTCAAAGAATAAAGAATGTTATATAAAACGTAGCCATCTGGTGGCCAAACGGAGTTCGCCGGGTTTGCTAATTATTATTAAAAAATCCATATTTATAATACACCAACGCTAAATTGATATATTTTATCATTTCATCATACTTCTATTTATCATATTATATTTAAATAACCTAAGAGATTTTATTTCTTGTTTATTTTACCTAAAACTCGCTGATTTCGAAATATCTTGTATCTTTGTCGACATAAGGAATAATTGAAAAATTGACAGGATATCGCCTGGACAGTCCACGCTACCGTCAGTTGACTGGACAATCTCTACACTATATGAGTCACTGTTTACATGTTACCATTAGCTCATGACGATACCTAAGTACGTATCGCCTGGACAGTCCACGCTACCATCAGTTAACTGGACAATCTCGACACTACATGAGTCACTGTTTACATGTCACTATTAGCTCATGACGATACCTAAGTACGTATCGCCTGGACAGTCCACGCTACCATCAGTTGACTGGACAATCTCTACACTACATGAGTCACTGTTTACATGTCACCATTAGCTCATGACGACACCCCATTACTTAAACCGACAAGATACTGAAAATATTTCGAAAATATCGCGAAATATTACTGAAAAATGAAATATTTGTGAACTATAATAATATCTAGGGAATTTATAAATCCTAAATTTTAAATTCTACAGGTACCCATAAGACAAATATTTTTAAGAACACTGATTATTGAAAAACTGAATTTATCACTACATAGTATAAAACAAAGTCGCTATCCGCCGTCTGTCTGTCCATATGTATGCTTAGATCTATAAAACTAAGCAACGGATTTTGATGCGGGTTTTTTAATCTAAGTCAAGAGGAAGTTTTATATGAATAATACTTCCAATTTAACGCGTGCCAAGCCGTGATAAAACTAGTATATCTATTATTATTACTTAATTATCTTCAGCCCGCGACTTCGTACGCGCAATCCCATTTTCTCCCATTCCCGTAGGATATCTAGGATTTGGATTTTTTCTGTCATAAGAACCTTCTCCTAATAATAACAAATACAACAAAAGAATTAGTGAAATCGGTCCAGCCATTGACGCGGATGCCGTGACGAGAGTGTGGGAGTTACAGATTGAACATCTGTACGAAGCAGCTAACCTTTTGTATCACCAAAAAGCACACGAATAAATACTTTGACTTTGACTATTTTCTAAATATTACAGTAACCTTTCAGTTTTTCAGTAACCAGTTTTTAATTTTTTTTTCATATACATGTTTTTTTTTCAATTATTTTCAATATACAAGACGAATTTTAACTAAACTAAATTGGACAGCCTTTGTTATAGGCTTTATTATTATTTTTTTTAATATTTGAGACTCCGTATAAATTATTTTCGTGTAACAGAGTCATATGTTACGTCAAACGACGGGAGCCACAGATAAAAATGATTTTGACGTATGACAGGAGCTGTCAAAGTACAATTTTTTTTTGTTTTGTGATGAAGATGGTAGTCTATTGAAGACCATTTAGTTTTTTTTTTTTGTTACATGTTACAATTCAGGCGGAAATATTCAAGTCCAGCTCATTCCGAGTCTCCTCCCGTTTACGACTTCTATAAAAAGTCTCAAATAGAAAAAAAAACTTCATTAAAAATCTAAGTGTCTACTAAATATTTTTAAAAACTAATTATTCACAAAATGTGGTTACCATACATTATTTTTACACTATATCGTTTTTTAATCCTTTTTTTTTATTATTTAAATTTTTTTATTCATTATCATTTCCAAAAAAAAATGCAAATTTACTTCAAAAAATGGAAATATCACAACTATTTTCAAACTTCAAACTATACACAGGCTGTACAAGGCTGTATGCAAATACCTTTGCCTCAAACAGTGTTGCCAGATAAAAATTTGTACACAGGCAATAAATTTTTTACCGAAAAAGGTGTTTTATGTCAACAAACTCACCTTTTTAGTTACTTAGCAGAGTTTTTTCTTTGAACATTTACTTTTTCTGACTTCGGTCTCTCCTTTTTCTCAACTTTTTCGGTTGCTTTTGGTTTTTCTACCTTGGGTAGTGGTTTTTCTGTGGGTGTGGTTACTGGTGTGGTTGTCGGTGGTTTCTTGGGTTTGTTCGCTTTCGCGGCGGCCGCGTAGTTTATTGGTTTGAAGCCAGATGTCGCTTGCGCTTCTTCTAAGGGGGCCGGTTGGGGTTGCTGGGGAAAAAAAATTACATTTTAATCACTAAATTAAAATAAAACACTAGGATTGTCTCCTGTGTCGTGGGTGCGTTTACAAACATACAAGTTCACATACACATGACACCCAGACCAGACCTTAAACAACAATTTGTAAATCACACAAGGAGTTGTTCCGTGAAGAAATCGAACACGCGACACGTTGCACGGCAGCCAGTTACCCAGCCACCGCGCCAACCGTACAGTCAAATGTTTCGAAGAAAAAGTACACGAAAATATTTTATTTTTGCAAATTTCATTTCTATTAAATTCGTAAGTATTTTTCGGTAAAGTTATCGATTCGATATCGATATTTATCGATTTATGTTTTATCGATATCGCCACTCGCCAGCGTCACTTAGACAATTTCTAGTAAAGATGCAATTGTTTAGTATTTCAATGCAATTGTTTAGTAAAGATACTAATTTACTATAAACTGCCCTACGCGGCGGTTAACGTATTAACCCTCCGGTGTCCTCGCGGTGTTTGACAGTTTAACCCTTTGAGTACCGTCATTATAGACACACCTAGCAAACCTGGCGAACTCCGTTTCGCCACCAGGTGGCATCGATTTATGCAACATTTCGTTTGGTGATTAAAAGATGCAGAAAACTCTATTTCCTGAATTGCTTTGCTATAAACCTCACGGAGCCCGAGACCTTTCCAGGGAATGCAAAACCGTAGAAATCGGTTCGTGCGTTCTGGAGTTATAGCGTCAGGAAGGAAAACCCGACTTATTTTTATATAGCAGATTAAAAAACAATAGGTCGCGGTCACCGGTGTCCTCGCGGTGTTTGACAGTTTAAACAGAAAATAAAGAAGGAAAAGATATTTTTACCTTGACCTCGCTGTCTTCACTCTTCTCGTCCACTTTGATCTCACTCTTGACGCTCTTAACTTCTTTCTTCTTCGGCGCGACCTTTGTTTCCGATTTGGCCGTCTGTGGTTTACTTTGCACCTGAAAACAATATTTAAAAATGTAGACAGAGGTGCACATTACGGCACTTAATGACGCTGTACAATGTAACACCCACTTTTCACTATTTATGTTATGAGTCCCATGTAATAGGGGGTGAGCCTATTGCCATATACCGGGCACAATTTCAGGCTCCGTGCTACTACTGAGATTTTTTTTAAAACCCAGGTATATTTTGCAAGACCAGGGGAATCGAACCCGAGTTTTTAAACCCGATTTTAAAATGTTTAATTGAATATTATAAGTTAGGTCTTGCCAGCAGCTTCGTCCGCGTTACCGTGTGATAAAAAGTAGCCTGTGTGTTATTAGATTACTGACCATTTTTTTTTTTTTAAGAGGTGAAAATCATCGATCGGCCCCCTACCACCGGCGCCCCCCCCGACAGCCTCGGCCTTCCACGAGACCTGGTCGCACCGACCGACCCATCGGACGCCGCGTGAGACTCCCGCCCGCCCGCCGGCGGATCGGTAGTCTCCGCCCCCACCTCGAGCCCTGCCCCTAGCGGCGCCCCCACTGGACACGACCTATGCCCCGCCAACAGCTTGCTGCTCGCTGGGCTTGCCCGGCTAGAGCGCGGCTCACAGCGGCGCAAACCACCTAATATGACGCTGCATCGACTACCCCAACCCCTCGCCTGCGGTCGCAGGCAACGACCAGATACCGCCGAGACAGACATCGGCCTGGTTCGCGCGACTTTACCCCCCGTCTGGGGGTCGCGGAGAACCTAACGGGTTACCGTGGCTCCGGCTCGACGTGTAGGAGAAGGAACGGGGTGGTTTTTAGTCAGTAAGAGTCTGACACTCCCTCCCGCCTCAAGCAGGCGGGAGCAGTCATACGATGATTGTCCCCCCCTTAAAAAAAACCCCCCGTCGGGGACGGAGAGAAGACTACGGAGTCAACTGTCGGGCAGAAAGCCCGCCAGGCACGATCACCTCGCCTCCTTTTCCTATCTTAGGGAACTTCACTCTCTATAAACATCACACTACGGTCAATAGGACTTTAGAATATCTGTAAGACTATACCAACCTTGCTCTTGACTTCCGGTTTGACCGTCTTCTTTAAATCTACTTTGGATTTGGAATCCTTCTTGTCTTTGGGTCGTTTGTCCTGTGTCTTGTCTATGGATTCCGTTGCGCTCACTTCTGGCGTTTCCTTCTGTGGCTGTTGTGTTTCTGTGGGGATAGAGATATAATTTTAATAAATTATGTGAGGGCATTTTAAGATATTATTAATTCACCACCACCACTCTTCCCGTGGGTGTGGTATACCCGACTAATACACTACACATTAGACAGAGACCGTGCAGCAACGCTCTCTGATAAACCTGAACCTTTTATACTTCTTGCTTGCTTGCACTCATTTTTTATGTGATAACCCGGTAAACGAGCAGACGGATCACCTGATGGTAAGCAATCGTCGTCGCCCGTGGACACACGGAACACTAGAGGCGTTACAAATGCGTTACTGGCCTTTTGGGGATTAGGAATTTGAGGATAGGATTCAGAGATTGAGAAGGGGAGAGTGGAGTAGGGGAGAGTGGGGAGGGTAATGGCGTCTCCGATAACCTCACTCACACGACGAACCACAACGCTGTGGTTGTATCGGTTGTCTGCTCGTTGGCGGTATCACTCCGGTCGAGCCGGCCCAGCAGTGCCGAAGTATGGCGAACCCACACTTAAATTTTACCGCCTCTAAGTCAATACTTACAAAATAAGTAATAAATGTTACATCTGTACTCACCCTCTGTGTTATCGTGTGTGACATCGTCTGCAGTAGTGTGTGTGTGTGTGACCGGACACTCGTCTGTGGCGACGCTGGGGGACTCCGCTTGTACGGGGGCGCTGGGGGGGACTTCTTGGGTGGGGACTTGTTTTTCTTCTGTAATAGAAAAGAAGAACGAAATTAGTATTTTACGTCTTAAATTAGTAAATTAATTATTATATTTTCGGCTAACTCTAAATGTTTTAAAAGAGGTTAATTTTGGACGCGTAGCGTGTCGCGAAATGCTGCTCATGAATATAAGCCTCTAGCATGGCTTGAAACTAGTCGAGTTCCTCGTCAAACCTTAGAAAAGAATATTACAATAAAATTATTGGATTTGACTAGTTGCAAACTAGCATAATTATATTGTTTTCCAGTCTTTTAAGTCTTTTTTTCTCCCGCCTGGGTGAGGCGGGAGGGAGTGTCAGACTCTTACTGACTAAAAACCACCCCGTTCCTACTCCTGCACGTCGAGCCGGAGCCCCGGTTACCCGTTAAGTTCTCCGCGACTCCGTATTGGGCATCAGCCTTACTGGGCGCCATCCGTAGTGGTCTGATGGCTGTTTGTGTAGCGCGCCGTACGCGCGGGTCTGGTTTTGGTCGGACGGGGAGCCACCCATGCCTGCCCCCCGCAGGCCCGCAGCACATACGGTGGCCGGAGAACGTCGCGCGATCTCCGACACCAGGAGTGTCTCCCGCGACGGCAGGAGCGTGAGGAGCTTCATTCCCTCACGCGTCCCGCCTCCTCCTTAGCTAGCATGACTGCTTCGTAGAAGGAGGAGACGGCATCCCAGTCCCCCTCGCTGAACCAGAGCCGGAGCTCGCCGTGGCCAACACATCCCGCACTCCCCCCCCCCCCCCCCCCCACCGTGTCCTCAGGGCGGTCCTCGCAGTGATGACACCCGGGCGTTTCCTCCCGCCCCATCAGACACAGGTACCTCCCGAAGCTCCCATATCTGATAAGCACCTGCGTCAGGCGGTAAGTGAAGAAGCCTCCTCAAAGAGGGGACTTACCGCTGCAATGGCAGCGAGCCCAGCCCTCATCGTTGCGATAGTCTATCATCTCACGATTGTTTTCTAATCTAAATGTGCCGTGCATGTAAAATCATGTGTTTTCAAACACACCCACGACACAGAAGGAAATCCTAGTCGGAGACAATGTTGTGTAAAGACAATCTTCAAGTATAATATTAGTTTTAGTTTTTAGTCAAATTGCCGTGGTGCTTGGCGACTGGGCTTCACCCAGTTGTACAGTCTCTTCTTTGTGCCTTTAGGCTTAATTCACTCTGTCTCCTGCAGTAATTCACCGAGGGAAGTGGAAACCACAGTTTTTTGTTCGCCTCTTATAATATCTTCTGATTCACTTCGTTGCGGGAACCAAGACAGTTACTCATGTCCCTGGGACGCGCCGGACTTCAGTGTTCCGGTGTTTTCATGGTTGTATCTACTGTAGATCCTGGTGCACAGGAGTTGCAGCGGTTTTGGGAGGTTGTGGCGGGCTTGTACAAAAAAAAAAGTATAATATTACCTGTAGCGGTGGGCAGCGGTCTCGTGGGCACGAACTCGGCGGCGAGAGGGTTCAGCGTCGACCGAGATACTGTCTCTTCTAGCGACAGGGACGGCGCTCCATTACTTGTTCTGCAATCATAATAAAAATTATATATCTTTGATACTTGAATATGTGGGAGAGCCATGCTTCGGCACTGCTGGGCCGGCTCGACCGGAGTGATACCACCAACGAGCAGAAGACCGACTTATAAAATAATAAGCTTTTACCACATAACACACATCGTAAGCGCGGGCCTGCGGACGGTGAGCATGGGTGGCGTACGGCGCCGAGCGTTTCTCGCGTCACAAAAGAATAAAAAGCCAATGTGACATATACCAATACACACAGCTCCATCTATACCAATACTTTTGTTTTCCCTCGAGAATATCAAATTTTTCCGGGATAAATAGAACCCAATTATTTAATCCGGCCTACTAACTATACATCTGCAAAAATTCAAAGCAATCGGTTTAGTAGTTATGGCGTGAAAGCGGAACAAACAAACAAACAAACTCACTTTCCGATTTATAATATTAGTAAGGAAAGGATAAGGAAGTAAGGATTATTAACGCGTCTTAGGGCTCGTACACAAAACTGTGATGCGATGCGAATTCGCAACACAGAAAATTACGATGCAAATTGCTGCGATGCGATTTCGTGCGACAAGGCGTCTCCCAGGGTGACCATTCCTTCGACGACCGTCAACCGTACTAAACGTATTTTAAATTGAAAACTAGGTCGTGACATGGTTCGTAAACAGAAGTGTGCACTTCTGTTATTGCTTAGGAGATACAGGAAAAAGAAACAAAGAAGATATTAGGAAGATAAGATTTTAATGCGCGATGTGAATCAATTCGCAAGTTCTTGCGATGCGTAGAGGGAGGGAGCGCATTTTTGCAATACGACGTCGCATCGCAGTGTTGTGTACGAGCCCTTATGCTAACTCGAGTACGATGGAGTGTGGCCTTAACCCCTCGAGCGTCCTTATGAGCACCCGGTGGATCATAGGAAAAAATGCTCCATGCTGCTTTCTCTTTCATAAAATCTATTATTAATGTTTTGTTTTTATTTTGACTGTATTTGTTTTATTTCTATTGTAATGATCCTTGTTTTCGTGTGCCAATGGCCAAATAAATGCATTTTCTTGCATGCATAAGGATAAGGAAATGCATAAGGAACGCGGACGCTCGACGGGTTAAAAGTCATCATCATCATCAACAGCCTATAAATGCCCACTGCTGAGCAAAGCCTCTTCTCACACAGAGAAGGTTAGAGCATTAATCACCACGCTTGCTTAATGCGGGTTGGCGATTTCAAACTTATAATTAGAAATTATAAGTCCAGGTTTCCTCACGATGTTTTTCCTTCACCGTTTGTCAGTGGTGTCTAAATAATCTTAGAAAGTACATATAATTCGGAAAAAGTCACATTGGTACTTGCCGTTGGTAGGTTTCGAACCCGCACCCTCATGCATGAGAAGCGGGCGTCTTAAACCTCCGGGCCACTACGACTCACCACGTCACCACGACTTCGGTTAAAAGTACATAGAAATAAATAGTAACTCACGTAGGATAGTGCTGATGATTATGGCCATTGGCGGTGGGTCGGTTATGCCTCTCTCTCTGCTCATCTTCCAACATGGCTTCTATACATTGCTCCATTAGTGCCTCCTCTTCAAGCTGTTGCATCACCTGTCGGAAAATAATTTTAAGTATTGCTTATAAATAATCTATATAATTATATAAAAGAAAGTCGTGTTAGTTACACTATTTATAACTCAAGAATGGCTAAATCGATTTGGATGAAAATTGGCAGGGAGGTAGCTTAGAACCAGGAGACGGACATAGGATACTTTTTATACAATACTTTTTTTTACTTTTACCGAAAATTACGAACGGGAACGGGGGAAAATGGGATTGCGCGTACGAAGTCGCGGGCAGAAGCTAGTAATTATATAAAAAAAGTCGTGTTAGTTACACTATTTATAACTCAAGAATGGCTAAATCGATTTGGATGAAAATTGGTAGGGAGGTAGCTTAGAACCAGGAGACCGACATAGGATACTTTTTACCCAATTCTTTTTTTTTTACTTTTTACCGAAAATCAGGACGGGAACGGGAAATATCGGGATTGCGCGTACGAAGTCGCGGGCAGAAGCTAGTTATAGATAATTTAACGCCTCCAAGACCGCTCTCCACTACCTACATTATAGACCTTATTTCCAATGCTTAGAGACTACTTTTGTATAAACAAATTTAGAATTAGAATGAATTTCAACGGGTTAATAATAAATTTATGGATCCAGGGTGCTTACTCTTGAAACCAATCTCAATATCAATGCAATTTCAATCCAATAAAATCTCAATAATTCAATGTCAACACTATACAACCACAATCGTAGCTGTTACAATAGCATTCAGAGTACGGAATATAAAGACAAACTCAATACCATTTAGTTCATTCAATATCCACGCAATACGGATGCAATGGGCGCTAGTGTTGCAACTCAATAAGTACAACGCACTATTAATGTAGATCGATTGGATTGTAGGCTACCATATTTTCGTTCACCAGTGCCTTTAGCCAAACGCCACTTTACCGCTTGTCTACTGATAGAGTAGAAAACTAAATGTTTTTTATGTAATAACCTGGTAAACGAGCAGACGGATCACCTGATGGTAAGCAATCGTCGTCGCCCATGGACACACAGAACACTAGAGGCGTTACAAATGCGTTACTGGCTTTTTTGGATTAGGAATTGAAGGATTAATGGGGTTTCGGGGATTGGAGAGGGGAGTGAATGGGGCCTCCGGTAACCTCACTCACACGACGAAACACAACGCAAGCGTTTCTTCACGTCGGTTTTCAGCTCGTTGGTGGTATCACTGCGGTCGAGCCGGCCCAGCAGTGCCGAAGCATGGCTCTTCCACACAGGGGCCTTACTCTTGAATCCAATTCCGATCGATCGACATTGATATTGTGTCGTACTCTTGAGTTGCAACACTAGCGCCCATTGCATGCGTATTGCGTGGATATTGAATGAACTAAATGTTATTGAGTTTAGCTTTACATTTTGTCTCCGAGTGCTATTTTAGCAGCTACGATAGGGGTTATAGAGTTTTGTAAGCAGCCTGGTGTAGGGGCGAATGGTGAAACTGACCTGTTTGTCAAACTCCTCTTCGTTTTCCATCCACATATAGTCCGCGAAGTCGTCTGGTTGTGGCTGGGCTGGCACGGGCGGATACGCCGCGGGGGGGTAGTATGCGCCTGCCATTACGTAGCCTGGAGAAAGAGATACATCGTTATATTCCACATATATATACAAAATCAAATAATGTATCAATGACACTGTAAAAATATTTTTTTACAAGAGTAACGATAGAGTTTGTTCGTTGTTATTCATTCGAAACTACACTTTGAACAGGCAGGCGGACGGACAATTTACTTGTTGACATGAAATTGAATCAAATCAAATCAAACCAAACCAAATGAAATCAAATGAAATTAAATCAAATCAAATCAAATCAAATCAAATCAAATCAAATCAAATCAAATCAAATCAAATCAAATCAAATCAAATCAAATCAAATCAAATTATTTATCTATTAAATTCATTCGTAGCTCCGGCTCTATGCAGTAGTAGGAACGGTGTTGCATTTAGTCGATAAGGCAGAGGCCTTACTGACTAAATGCAACGCCGCCGCCGCCGCCGCCCCGCTGCCCGCAAGATTCGAGGCAGAGGCCTAAGGGCTCTCACTCAAGGCTGACGGAGGCATTTGACGATTTTCCCCCTCAAAAAAAAAACTTACCAGGCATATGTGCGCGCGGTATATGTACGGGGTAGACGGGCGGGCGATGTATGCCGGCGTCACCGCTACCAACAACGCCGCCGCCGACACCGCTGTCTATTATAACGCCGTTTGGCTGGAAAAGGAGATATTATGGTGCAGATTACAAGTTTATGTTATTTTAACCCTACAGGAAGAAAATTACTAACTCATTGGCCGAGTGCTCGCAAGTGCGACTGCCGGGCAAGGGGTCTCGGGTTCGATTCCCGGGTCGGGCAAAGTATTACTGGGTTTTTAAAAATTCTCAGTAGTAGCACGAAGTCTGGAAATGTGCCCGATATATGGCAATAGGCTCACCCCCAATTACATGGGACTCATAACATAAATAGTGAAAAGTGGGTGTTACATTGTATAGTGGCATTATGTGCACCTCTGCCTACCCCTTCGGGGATAAAAGGCGTGATATTGTTATTTGCACTTGTTACGGCCAGCGAGGCAGTATTTTATAAATTACAAAATTAAAAAAAAAACAATAAATGTACAAACCTGCCAGTGTCCATTCTCCTCATTGCCGTAATAAGCGCCAACGTTAGCAGAAGTCTCCGGTATTTTCATATTTATAATATAAGAATAATCTTAGTACTACTTTAAAAAAAAAAACAAAAAAACTTAGTGTTAATTTATAGACTTAGTATTTCAAACTTATAGTGTACTGGGGCATGGGCCTTGTATACAAAATGAGTTAATATGTCTGTTTGTTGAAGTGGTTACTATCTTCATTTCTGGTGATATCGGCAACTGAAAACAAAGAAATGCAATATTAAGACTTCATCATCATCATCAACAGCCTATAAATGCCCACTGCTGAGCAAAGCCTCTTCTCACACGGAGAAGGTTAGAGCATTAATCACCACGCTTGCTCAATGCGGGTTGGCGATTTCAAACTTACAATTAGAAATTATAAGTCCAGGTTTCCTCACGATGTTTTTCCTTCACCGTTTGTCAGTGGTGTCTAAATAATCTTAGAAAGTACATATAACTCGGAAAAAGTCACATTGGTACTTGCCGTTGGTAGGTTTCGAACCCGCACCCTCATGCATGAGAAGTGGGCGTCTTAAACCTCCGGGCCACCACGACATTTTCATATTCCACATTAAGACTTAGCCAATAAAAAATTTTTGAAGATAAACCCTCGCTAACACCGGTCACCGGTGACCCCCATGGCGTTTAACGTGTTAAGTTTATTATATAAGGCTCGTACACAAAACTGCGATGCGTGCGACTTCGCCACGCAAAAAATTACGATGCGAATTAGTAGTTTCCAGGGTATCAAAATTAAAAATCTAATTAGTCCGTCATTTAGATAATGAAAAAATATTAGACACGTATTTTTTTATTTTCTCGTATTAAGTTGCAATACTTAGATAAAATGGCGCTAAGTTTAGGAGTGGGAGATCGTTACGTCATAACGTGCTACAAAATGTGACACGCTGTGACGTCACACGATATTTCAAATTAATATATCGTCCATAGTATTTAATTTTATGAGAAATGAAAAAATACGTGTCTAAAGTTTTAAATTAATGTACTAGACAGATATTAAAATAAAATTTAGGAAACTACCCACCCTATTGGTGCGATGCGATTATGTCCGACAACGCGGACTATTCCTTCGACGATCGTCAACCGTACTAAACGTATTTTAAATTGAAAACTAGGTCGTGACATGGATCGTAAAAAGAAGTGTGCACTTCTGTTATTGCTTAGGAGATACAGGAAAACGAAACAAAGAAGATTTTGGGCAGATAAGATTTGATGCGCGATGCAATCATTCGCAAGTTCTTGCGATGCGTAGAGGGAGCTCGCACATTTTGCGATGCGCCGTCGCCTCGCAGTTTTGTGGACGAGCCCTAGTCTAAGTTGTTATCTTTTTGTTTGGACAATATAAATAAAAAAAGAACATTAGCATTTACTCTGATACGAAACATGAAAACAATTTTTTTAACATTGTCACTTTTTTTAAGGGAGGAAAATCATCGAATCACTGCTCCCGCCTGGGTGAGGCGGAAGGGAGTGTCAGACTCTTACTGACTAAAAACCACCCCGTTCCTTCCCATGCACGTCGAGCCCGAGCCCCGGTAACCCGTTAGGTTGTCCGCGACTACGATTCTCTTCTGTGTCGTGGGTGCGTTTACAAACATAATACACATCTCACACAGACCCGGAACAACAATCTGTGGACCACAAAGATTTGCTCCATGTGGGAATCGAACCTGCTACACTTTGCGCGGAAGCCTATTGCACAGACACCGCGCCAACAGTGCAGTCAGAAACTTGTACCTCATTCTCATTCAATTTCCTTTCATTCAAACTACATTGCTATCAGAAAATGAGCAGCCATTCCAGTAACACTAATATTTTTTTTACACATAACATCACGCCTTAAAGAGTAGGCAGAGGTGTACAAGTACAATGTAATGCCCACTTTTCACTATTTATGTTATGAGTCCCATGTAATAAGAGGTGAGCCTATTGTCATATACCGGGCACAATTCCGGACTCCGTGATTTTTTAAAAACCCATACTACTAATACTTTGCCCGACCCAGGAATCGAACCCAAGACCCCTTGCCCGGAAGTCGCACTTGCGACTACTCCGCCAACGAGGCAGTCATATTTTTTAAATAAATTATTAATGTGATCCCACCATGTACATATTATGTCCTGTATCGTGAGTACCTTTAGTCTTATACTAATTCACATACACATCACACACAAACATACATACATACAACTACATAAATATTTTAAAATTAACTACAACTAAACTATAAAATAAGACGAAAGTAACTGAGTTAAAAACTGCGTTTTTTCAGTGTAACCTGAATTTATTTATCGAAGTGATCTGAAAACGAAAGTTATCAACATAGCTCAAAGGATCAGTAAGCTGAAGTAACAGTTGAGGTAAAATGGGGGGGGGAAATCATCGAATGACTTCTCCCGCCTGAGTGAGGTGGGAGGGAGTGTCAAACTCTTTCTTACTAAAACCACCCCGTTCCTACTCCTGCACTTCGATCTGGAGCCCCAGTAACTCGTTAAGTTCTCCACGGCTCCGTAGCATCAGCCCTATTGGGGCCCATCCGTGGTGGTCTGATAGCTAAATCAGTCCTTAGTAGATATTATTTAACTGACTTCACCAAAACAGGGGTTAAAGTCAGTTTTTCTAAACATAAACGATTTTATTATAGTAACTTCAGACCAGATGACAAGACCGAGTTCAGGATGAATGTAATCTTCCAATTATACTACTAGAATAACAAAACCTTTATTGCAACAATGTAATACTGGTCAATGCCAATAAGAGTACACGTTTAAGTGGCCACCAGATGGCACTAACATAGCGTAAGGTCCTATTTGTCCAATGACTAGTCAAAATGTGAAAAATGATACTTTTCTATGAAAATTTTGTATGTGACTTCATCTTATTTTTTGAATTAGTTAGAAAACAATTATAATTTACTTTATCTTTTAATGAATAAAATAGTTATGTGTATAGCCTATAACAGCGGCTTCTCTCGCATTTTTGTGAAATAAAAAGTAGCCTGTATATGTTCGGTACTACAGACTCATCAATCCGTTCTAAACTTCATTTTAGCCTGTTCAAGTCCAACTGCTGACCAAATGGCCTCTCACACGGAGGACTGAACATTAATACATTGATATATTATACCCAAAATTTGTTCACACAAAAGCAGTCTCTAAACATCGGAAATAAGGTCTATAATGTAGTTAATGAAGAGCCGGTGACCATTTGGGAATGGCTCAAGTCAGATAGGTAATTACAGACTTATAATTTGAAGAAAGTAATTCCATAACAATTAATTAAAAAATTTACTAATGTTTGTACTATTAATAAATTTCGTTTTAAGTACATGTATTACAGAACAAGAACTACTATTATTACTCCATTGAAAGTCAAAATCATTTATTTCAATTAGACCAGATCGGCATTTTTTAATGTCAAACATAATATTAAATACATGTCAGCCTGTCAGTCCTCTAGTTGGTCTATTAGCTTGTTTTTGTGCAAAGTGTAGATTCCTATGGAGAAGAATTAACAAGAAACTCCATAGGCTACTCTTTTTCAATCAGATTCATAACACAATTCTAGGTTACATTGATTTGTTGGTTCAATTATAGGAGAACAATGTAATACCAGTATTGAATCATTAAAAGGTAAGATCAACTATGTGCCCGTAATGTGAAGTGTGAACTGAGAAATAATTATTTTTATTTGTATCCAGAGACTAGCCAAGTATGAATTGATAAATAGTTGACTGTTTATCTTAAGATTATTATAGAAACCTACTTTTATATCAACAAAATAAGATAGTAGAGGTCATTGAAACAAAACCGGGAAAGCCCTTAACATTAACAAAACCTATGATTAGATAAAAATAAATAAAACAAAACAACGATTAATTCCCGATTTCCCGCCGAAAAACCCAATTCTTCATTTGAATTTTAGATACTAGATAGATACCATAAAGTAAGAGTGGAGTGAAAGAGGTTTTATATGAATGCAAAAAGTAGATTAATAAAAGTTTTACAGTAATTTAGTTTTCGAGGCTAAAATTATTCATTTCTTCTCATTATCATTCAGAATCATGCTTGAGTGATAATGTGTGTTGAGGAAAAAGGGTCATGAACTGGCTGAATAATAATACAACCTATCCAATGTGCAGTACAATTAAAAAGTTATAAAAACAATATGTCGTATCTATGCTAAATGTTTTGCAGTAAAGATTTCGTACTTGCAAACGTAAGTTCGCGATAATATTATGAAATTTAATGTCAACAAATGAAAGGTGTCCTGATTATTTTAAATATTCCACTTTCTACTTTAAAGCGGAACTTTCCACGTACGCTATTTACATCACACAACACGACTAAATTCCGCGCAGATGTAAATAAAAAATTAAAAGTGAACAATAGTGCATACGAGAGGCCAAAAATAGATCAACCTACAAACCAAAATAATTAATTGACCGACTTTCGTTTTAATCGATTTTACATAGAAATTCCTTAACACCACAATCGTGAACAAATACAATTACAAATCTAACTTCAGTACCGTGTAAATGCAATTCAAATCGGAAAATATTGGAACCTGCACGTGTGCGTAGTCTTGCTACGTAATCTAAATCCAAGATACTCACTCATTTGACGCACTTATTGTGCCTACAGCGTGGATATAAGTTTACAGTCCTCAAAATTTGTTTGCTACGAAACAGATGCACAAATAACTTTAAAATAAGCACTATAACCTCCAATATCACAATTTCACACACAAGATCATCAGCCAGTATTCGTGGCGCAAATGGCGACCGCTCTGAAGTATGCGCGCTCCAACGTGGACGATTCACGGCTGACTTCGTTGTAAAATACCAACCGGCGTTTTTTTTACAAATTCGCGTGCGATATTTTCTGTGAAATTAATGTAAATAATGATTATATTACCTTTCTACTAGACAATCATACTCTTGTAAATTTAGCTGAGCCAAAAGAGTTGTCAAAATGACGAGTCAGTTCGTCGTTCAAATTATTTATTGGCTT